AGGGCACGTGCCTGGGTTGCGGGCTCCATCCCCACCAGGGCTCCATCCTCAGCAGGGCGTGCAGGAGGCAGCCGATCAATGACTCTCTCATCATTGATGTTTCTATCCCTCTCTCTCCCTCTCCCTTCCTCTCTCTAAAATCAATAATATATATATATATATTTTAAAAGGCATTTTTATAAAAAAAATTCATTTGAGCCAAACTGAGGATAATTGCCGGGAAGCAAGATCTCAAATGCGCCCTAGAATGACAGTTTCCTTTTTTTTTTTAGAATGACAGTTTCCAGAATTAAGAAACTAAGAAAGATTAAATGAAGTTGTGAGAAAGCAAGGGTTACAGCAGTGATTTTCAACTGATGCGCTGCAAGAATTTTGTTTATACTCTTCACCCGAGTATATGTTAACTGATTTTTAGAGGGGCGAGGGGGAGAGAGGAACATCGATGTAAGAAACATCAATCATTTGCCGCTGGTACACCCCGACTAGGGATCAAACCCGAAACCTAGGTATGTGCTCGCCACCTTTTGGTGTAAGGGACGAAGGTCCAGCCAACTGAGCCACCAGGCTGGGCAGGAATTTTTGAAAATGCAATACCTGAATATTTAGTTAGGGGCACTGACCTCTTTTCCTTCAGATTGTCAAATAAAAAGAATGACCACAGCCAACACAATAATAGATGTCTCCTGTGAATGTCTTGTCTTGAACCAAAAATATATAGGTCATAGAATAGAGCTGCATCTTATTGGTCATGTCGCATAATAAGGTTGCATCTGATTGGTTAGTTCTTGGTACCAGAAATCCTTATATACAAGTCTAGGCACCTGATTTTTAAAAAAGTCACTTTGGAACAAAAAGGGTATGTAATTAAATTACTATTATTATTATTTTTGGTAAATCAAAATTATACCTAATTTTTTTGTCAGATCAGCAAAAAATATACTTTTTGGTGTTCCACAGACTTTCAGTAATTAGTGTATGTGTGCCATGAGATGTAAAGGGTTGAAAATCTCTGGGTTACAGGATAGTTTATGTGCTCCCTTGGTTATGCCTCCAAAGGAGTCTGGGAAAGAGGGTTGCTTCTGGCATTTCAAAGGCGTGCTAACCTAGAAGCACAAGAACAGTGCTTAAGGCAAAGATGAACGTTTTGTAGGCCTGGGGCATGACTGTCTGCCATGACCTGCCCAGTTAGGAATTTATGACCAGATCACCCTGTGAGCTTACCTTCCAGAGAACCTATTTCTTTGTCCACAGCGACTTGCTCAAGGTCACACAGCTTGAAAAAGACGAAAATGACCCTTCATGGAGCTAGGGATAGGAGGAAGGCATGAGAAAGAAAGGAGAGCCAAGGAAAGGGAGTGAGAGAAAAAACTGGAGCACCAAATGTGCCGACGGGACGACAGTGAGTCCAGGGGTTTGAGGAAGTTGCGCTGCGTGTTGAGAGGCTTTTAGAGCCAGATGCTAGCTCGCTGGCTGGTGTGCGGTGCGTTCTCTGCAGAGGCAGGCTCGAGGTGGCCCTGTTGTATTCGGGTTACATTTTGTACCTCACGTTCTCTGCTCAGGCACACCTCTGATTAAATTCAGCCCCCAGCCCTGACCAATCGTGCTGTCCAGGATGTCAGGCTTATGGTGCAAGAGCTCAACAGTTGACATACAAGGTGTGGTTGTACTTAAGCACTTCTCTGTAAATCAGCAAAAGTGTAAACCGTACCTTGGTGGAATATGTACTAAATGTACCAGACAGATACATGTTGTTATGGTTCATAGTGTTACATGAGACTTTTTCTCCCATTTGGAGAAAGTCTATGAAACATCGTGGAAGGAGAGGTTGCAAACTGGAAACCCAGCCTCCGGGGATAATCTATGTCTTAGAAGTTGAAGGAAGGGTGGGGGGACTGTATGTTGCTGATATGATTAAACTGGTTCTAAATGTTGGGGAGGAAAAATTTTTCTTCTACCCTCTTCGGTTCAGTGTTTGGAGGTCTGCAAATTAAAGTGACAGAAGGCATTAGCAAGAGAAAAGACAGATTTTTATTCTCTTATAAGTGGGGGAGTTCACAGAAAAATATGACTCAGTGAGGCAGTTAGAATTTGGGGTTTATATACCATCCAAATTGGGGGAGGGAGGAAGAGAACACCTTGGAAAAAGACTTCAAAATAGGGGAAAGGGCTAGGGGAGGGCATTTATGGGAAGACAAATGTCTTTTAGGAAAGATAAATGGGCCCTTAGGAGAGTAAATGGGAGAGATGATAGTTGTGTGACAATGTCCATTTAGGTGTGGTGCAGACATCTCCTCTCCAGAGATGAGAGTCACTCTTCTCTGGTTATAAGAAACTCCCCAGGAGGGGATTTATAACAGTTGAGTTCTTTGGGGAGGCTTTGCTTTTAGGTAAATAAGGGAGTTCAGAAAAAAGCCTATACTCAAATGCCTTCAGTTCAAAATAATTCTTATGCCACAGTGGCATATTCTAGACCCCTCACAAGCCATGGATATTCAACTGCCCTGAGGAAAAAGTGGTTGTTGGTAGAGGCCACTGCTGGCAGGATCTAGAGAACTGCGGGGAGAAAGTACTTCGTGGTGTGAGACTGTGCTGCTTCTGTTCTCTACGGCAGCACTGCCCAATGGAAATAAAATGTGAGCTACACATGTAATTCTAAATTTTCTAGTAGCCACAATGAAAGGTAAGAAGGAACAGGTGGAATCAATTTTGATAATATATTTTCTTTATAACTCAATCAAAACTGTTGTCATTTCAACATGTAAAAATTATTTGAAAAATTTTACTTTTTTTTTTTTTTTTTTAGCTTGGTCTTCAAAATCTAGTTTGTATTTTGCACTTCTCTCAATTCAGATGAGCCACATGCCGAGTGATGAACATGTGGCTGGCTGAGAATCGTCATATTAGACAGCGTAGGTCTCCAGGGCCCAGCACTAGGAATTAGTCATGACTCAAGGCTGCAAGCATCCCTGCTTCTATAGCTGACTACCTAGCAGGTCTAGAAGAAAGTTACAGCAATGTGGGGAGTTCCTGGGAGTAGGCTACTATGACAAGGCTGCAGCCTCCAGGACATCCTTATGTGAATTAGAAAACAGTGAATCCTTTGGGCTCAAGGCTTAGAGACAAAAAGGCACTTTTGACCAACAGCAACGACAGCCCAAGGCTCCCCTTTGTTCAGCACCTTGCCAGGTTCAGTGTAGAAAGACAAATACCACTCCAGGTATTTCAAGTGGCAAGGATTTAATGCAGGGCAGTAAGGGTCTGGGCCACCTGCTTCTGCAGAACCCAACTTCCTCCTCACTCCTGGAAACTAGGGACATTTTCCTCGTGTCCCCCACAGTCTGTAACACAGTCAGTGCCACAGTCTGCTGGGCACTGTGGTCACTCAGTAGTTGTATGAAGAAGAGAATGAATACAGACTCTCTCAGGGCTGAATCTGGGCCTGAGACCCACTACTGGGTTAAGGTGTTGAAAAGACTGCTGGTTGAGCACTGACTCAGGTGTGGCAGACACTGTAACCAGCCATTGCCTCACCTTCCTCGCTAACAGAGCCCCAACATTGTTTGGGGGTAGTAATATGCCCAACCCTTGGAGAGAGGCCCTATTTAGTCTAAGCCGGTGATGGCAATCCCATTCCCTCTGCCCAATTCTTACTTTCCCAGCCTCTCTTGCAGCTAGAGGTGGTCAGGTGACCTAGTTGTAGACATGGACATTTGGAGAAGTCTGCCTGGAGGCTTTAGCGCCAGCCAAGGGGGCATGCTAGGAGAAACACTCTGCCCTCCCCCCTATCCTACCCACCCTCTACTCTGTGCTTCCTCACTTAGCACATGGTGAGAGGATATGACGTCAGGAGCTGCTGTGAAGGCCTTTGCCAACTGTGAGGTCAAGAGAATGGCAGATCTGCAAGCCCCAAACAAATGCCAGCCCCTCCTATCTCTAGACTTCTGGATTCATGAGAAATATATGCCCCTATTTGTTTAAGCCATAATTACCTGGGTTTTTTTGTTACAGCTGAATCTAGTCCTAATTCATAAACCTAATGGTTTCTCAAAGGATTCTTTGATCTCGGAACTACAGACTCTTGGGGCTGAGAGAGCATCTCAGTTTCATCGGGTTTACTCTCCACAGTCTTTGTGTGAATCTCCACTTGCACATCTCAGAGATGGGAGCCCAGGTTTGATGGCTCTGGGGGTATGAAATTTTTATATTAAGCTAAAACTTAATTCTCTGCAATTCCACCCAGTTGTCTTGGTGTGGATAACTGGGAGAGAACGGAACTGTAGGAAGGCGCCTGGAGTTAGATGGGTTTAGTGCCAACTTTATCTAATTCCGCGATGCTGAGCAAGGTACTTAACCTCTTTAAACTTTAGTCTCTTTTATGTCTAAAGTGGAGACAATACATTCTCCCAGGATCGCTGTGAGGGTTTGATCTGAGAGCACAATAAGCCCACAGCAATGTTAGTGGTCTGGCCCTTCACACGTGGGTTGTGTCCATTGGTTGTCACATCTGAGAGTTGAACCCAGAAAAGAGGTGTGAGGTTGGATGCAGGGCAAAGAACAGGGGTCATTATAACTTTCCACCAGAGTGGGGCGAGTGTGTGTGCACACTCATGCACACGCATGCTTGCCTGTCTGAGAACTCGAGGAGCAAGGAAGGCACCCCTGGGAGGTGTGATCACTCCCCAGAAATGGAGAGAGTCTCTGCCTTACAACCTGTCTCTAGTCTGTGCAGTTTCATCCTGCCGGGCGTGAGGCCCACCCCTCCTTCCTCTGACCTGTTTGACGCCTGCCCTGATGGGGCAAAGGCTTGATGGAAGGAACAAGGAAGACACCAACTCAGCAATAACACCCAGGAGCCTGGGGAAGGTTTGCAGGAGGGGCTTTAATTGCCAAGAACTGAATCAGAAAAGCGGGGTGCTGGCCAAGGGGGTGGCCAGCCAGGGAGAGGGCAGGGAGGAGCATTCTTCTGCATGCTGGGCTGGAGCAGGGCTGGGTGGTTGGTTTCACTCCTTGGAGCGCCCAGCATCACGGCAGGTGCCAAAGTTGGTGTTGGTGATGGAGCCCACGATGGACTTATCCCCCTCGCAGGTCAGGCCCCGCTCACAGGGACACTTGTAGTAAACCCCATAGAGTGTCTGCAGAGACATGGAGCCAGGGGAGTCACAAGCTGGGGGAGTGGCTGCTTGGGGCATCACTTGCCTTGAACTTGACCCCAAGAACCAGCAGGCAGTCGTCTCTTCAGGTGGTGCTTCCCCTCCTGATGGCCTCCTCAGGGGGCGCTGTGGTTCCCACTCTGCCTCATTTGTGCTTACTAACTATATCTCCCTGGGGGGCCTCTATTTATCCATCCATGAAATGGGGATACCAAATCCCTGCCCCCACCCATCTTTCTGGTCAGTTGTGAGAGGCCAGGGGATGCCAAAGCGCTTTGAAGCCTGTTGACCTGCTCTCTTGGCTCAGCATTTGAGGTGCAGGCCGACCCTCCTCCCTGTCCCATCCCCAAGTCAGGGGGCCCTCCTCCTCCGGGCTGTGCACCCCCAGTCCTCCGGACCCACCTTGATAGAGCACTCGCTGTTCTCGCTGGCCTTGGGTGCGCAGCGGGCCAGGCTCAGCCCGCTTGTCCGGTGGCAGCATTTGCTCTTGCACTGGGCGCTGTTCAGGCAGAGCTCGCCCTCCTCCTGCGGGGCAGCCGTCAGCCAGGACCCCTCCCCTGGGCCCCGTCTCCACCCACGACCGCTGACAGTGCCTCCCTGCCACCCACTCCCACCCCTTCCCCAGGAGAGGCGGGCAGTGTGGTGCCGGAGGAGCAGCCCTGGCTGGGGGCAGGACACCGGGTTCTGGCACCGGCCTCACTACCAACTCCCCAGGTGACCCTGGGAAGCGGCTGCCCCAGCTCTGCCTCAGCGTCCCCATGGAAGGTGCACATGTGGCCCCCAAACCTCTCTGGGTCCCACACCTCTCTGAGGAAGACGCCTGTGAAAATTAAGGACCGTTTCCCTGGAAAACTCCTCCCTCCCGCACAGATTTTGCACATAATCTCAGCAGGATCCTGTCCCCCCAGCCCATGCATGTCACCATGGATGGGGGTGGCCTGTGGGGCAGGGGGAGGGCATGGCTCCGCGGGGCTGATCGTCATGGTCCCTGTCTCAGGTGCTTAGTGCTGAGGGCGGGAAGTGTGCGCTCGAGGCGAGAGCCAGAATCACTTTTTAAACCTCTGGGCCCTGAGCCAGGGTTTCCAGGGTGGATGCCAAGGGCTCTAGATTTTTTAAAGCTCCCTTAGCCAGGCTGAACCTCTGTGCCGTGTGCCATGCTGACCAGCCTTTTCAGGGGCCCCTGGGAAGAGGCGTAGGACATGGCACAGGCAGTGAAAGAAGAGATGCCTCACCTCCCAGCCCTCCAGCAGCCCCAGGTGGGGACACCAGAGGTGAAGAACTGCACTTAAGAAATTCCCACCCCGGGGTCCAGATGCCTCCTTCCCCCAAAGAGCCTCTTACCAAGTTGACAATGATTCCCCGGGGGTCGGGAACCGCATAGGCCACTGCCAGGGTGACAAGCAGAAGGACAAGGATCTTCTCCATGATGGATGGGCACAGCTGGTGTAGGGAGCAGCCAGCAGGTCAGGTGGCAGAAGGCAAAGCCAGCTGGGCGGTGGGGCTATAAAAGAGGCCCTGTCCACATGTGACCCACCTTCCCCATCTCCCAGGGCCGCCGTGAGCAGAGGCCCAGCTGTGGTCACGCTGCTGGGGGGAGGGTGTCCTGATAAGGTGAGTGGTGGCAACTGGGCACCTGGTACCTTTTGGGGGTGGTGGAGGGGTGATATTGCATCATGGTTAAGAGTGTGGACTCTGGAACACTTTCACCTGGACAGGTTACTAGCTGGGCAAGTTATCTGTTCTGAGTCTCAATTTCCTCATCTGTCAACTGAGGATAATTTCAAGTGTGGCTTGGTTGGTTGGGTTCTGTCCACACGCCGAAGGGTTGCTGGTTCAATTCCCGTCAGGGCACATGCCCAGGTTTTGGGCTCGATCCCTGGTAGTAGGCGTGCAGGAGGCAGCTGATGGATGATGTTTCTCTCTCCCTTCCTCTCTTTCTAAAAATCAATAAAAAACCTTAAAAAAAAAAAAGATTTGTAAGGGTTAAGTGAAGGAATATATGTTATTTATAGTATATGTTAATAGTAGGGGAGTCATTGCAGAGGCCCTTAGGAAGTCCCTCACTTAACATCTGAGGACAGGCTTGGCACATGTAAGCAGCGTGCGTTAGCTGCTGTTACGGTCAGTATGGTGCACCTCCGGTACCCGGAGCTCCTCAGCAGGGCTGGGGCTAGGGTGAGGCAGGAGAGGCCCCAGGTGTAAGCACCTCCTTAAATTTTCATCCGAGGTACCTCTCTTGCCTCGCCCCAGTCTGGTCCTGCTTTGGGCCCCACCCAAACGCAGGCATCTGGCAGAGTCAGGCTCAGGTGAGTAGAGGTCCTGGCCTCCCCACTCCTCAACCTTCCCAGGCCCTCTTGGGGGTTTTAGGGCAGGCCCGGTTCCCTGTGGCCGACCAGCTCTGCGGCCCCAGGGCCAGGGGATGTGTGGTCTGGCTCTGGGTGTAACCCCCTTCCCAGAGGGCTGTCTCCAGGAGTCATTGCAGAGGCCCTTAGGAAGTCCTTCTCAAACGATTCTCTCCAGTTTCCTTTTCATTTCACTTAATAGCTGCAGTTCCAGCATTTAAGACTCACCCCTTCAGTTAAGGCTTCCCCTCACCCCGTCCCCTAGCCAAGGCCACGCGTGAGTGGGAGGAGGTCTGCGAGCCTCAGATGGCCCGGGGCTGGGGGCTGAGAAGGGCGCAGCTGCCTGAGTGTGCTCAGGTGTGGGCCAGAGCGGCTTTCCCAGGACTGTCGCTGCAGCCGGAGGGGGGGGGCCCTTCCCAGCCCAGGAAGTGGAATCGGCTCCACCGGGGAGCCCCCGGATTGGGTTGCCGCAAGCATAGCTTTGATCCAGACAGACGTGGCTTCAAAAGTCAGCACCAACTGACTAGCTACATGACCATGGACAACTGATTTAAATCTGTGAGCTCCCTCAACCTGTTTCCTCATCTACCTGAGGAGGCTGAGGGCCCCTTCCTTAGGTCAGGATTGAGTAAGACGGTGTCTGTGGTGTGACGGCCATGGATGGACCTAGCGGGCGTCACGCTGAGTGAAGCCAGTCGGATAGAGAAAGACACACACCATATGATCTCACCTATATGTGGAACTTAATGAACAAAATAAACTAACAGCCAAAACAAACAAACTCACAGATACAGAGAACAAACTGGTGATTGTCAGCGGGGAGGGGGCTGGGTGGGAAGGTGAAGGGACTGAGAAGTGCACCTTGGCAGTTAGGAACAGTCATGGGATGCGAAGTGCGGCGCAGGGAACACAGTCAGTAATACTGAGTAACTTGTGTGGTGCCAGGTGGGTGCTGGACTTATCAGGGGGATCACTTGGTAAGTTATATGAATGTCTAACCACTATGCTGTACTCCTGAGACCAATATAATATTGAATGTCAAGTGTCATTGGAAAAATAAAATAAAATGAACATTAAGAAAGACAATGTATGGCCCAGCCGGTGTGGCTCAGTGGTTGATCGACGACCTATGAGCCAGGAGGTCATGGTTCGATTCCCAGTCANGAGACCAATATAATATTGAATGTCAAGTGTCATTGGAAAAATAAAATAAATTAAAATGAACATTAAGAAAGACAATGTATGGCCCAGCCAGCGTGGCTCAGTGGTTGATCGACGACCTGTGAGCCAGGAGGTCATGGTTCGATTCCCAGTCAGGGTTGCGGGCTCCATCCCCAGTGGGGGGCGAGCAGGAGGCAGCCGATCAATGACTCCCATCATTGATGTTTCTCTCTCTCTCTCCCTCTCCCTTCATCTTTCTGAAATCAATAATAATAATTAAAAAAGACAATGTATGCAGAACCTCTCCCCTCCTCCCCGCCCCCATGGAAGTGCCTGGCACATAGTAGGTGCTCAGCCTGAGCACTACCACCCCCTTCCTCTCCCCCGACACCACTGGAGGGCGGAATATGNCCACCCCCTTCCTCTCCCCTGACACCACTGGAGGGCGGAATATGAGGGAGCAGCTGGAGGGACCAGCCAGGAGTCCCTCAAAATGAGAGAAACTCCCCCAACTCCGGAGACGTGGAAATAACACTGACTAAAGGATCGCTGTCCTCTCTTATTTTTATAGAACAACCTGTTTAAAACCATTTTTCCCGTGAGCTCATCCTGGCCCTTCCTGCTCCCCCCACCCCCTTCACCCCAACACTCCTGTGAGC